GAAGTCAACGTTCCTCTGTTGGTCCAAATTACCTCTGTGCCTCAAGCTAGCAAGATCAGGTTTGGGCACCCTGATACACACTGTGCGGTAAGATGGGAAGAGAGAGAACTTCAGAATAATTGATGACAACATTCATTGTTCTGTAGAGGAAGACCTTCTTCCCCCATCACGTACCTACTTTTTAACTTAGAAAAGAAGTATTTTAGGGAAAATGATTCAAATTCTTTTTTAAAAATTTTTAAGAAAAACGTAGGAACAGACTCCTTTAAGTCTCAATTATTTGATCCATTTAAATTTTACTTACAGATCTGGATGTTCTTAAAAGAGAGGCTAAAGGAAGTGAATGACAGAGAAACTTAAAACCAATGTGTTTAAGCCCTTTTCTATTAATGAGAAAGTGTAAATGGAAAAAACACATTAATGAAATTATAATATATGTCAACTGTAAAAACATATCCCATTAACTGAACAACCTGGCAGGAACATATAATCCCAGATACATGTAGAGCAGCATCAGCTCTCACATATATTATCTCTTTTAATCCCCACAACTATCCAATGAGGTTACACCTACATAAGGTCCAGAATTTCTTAAGCAATTTCACCCACACAATATTTTTCTTTTTTTTCAAAAAAGGCAACTTGATACATGTATAATAAACTGGGACTTCATTTCATATCTCCATGTAAGATGTTTCATATGAAATAAATTCATACATCAGAAAAGATCCTTGATTGCCATATCTTTATTTGGAAAACATGGTCAGAGTACATCTCTGGCATCACAGAAAGGTCAGAATTCCAATCACTTAACACATATTTACAGGTTACAAGTGTGTGACAACCTCACGCAGCAGGTGACCACTGGTTAGTAGAAATGGTATCCTATGAGAAACTAAGAATAACAGATAACCAGTACTTTAATTGCTCTTCAAATCATGCCACAGAATATGCTTCTGGCACAGCAAAATCACAATTTTATGAACTGGGTTAAAACTGAGGTCATTCTCACAGAAACAAAGATCCGAGTATCACATGTTCTCACTCATATAATGGACCTTAAACATCCAATGCAATACTATACGAAAATGACTGACCGTACTGGGAAACTATGGTGGAAGGAGGGAGATGGGATTAACAGTAGCAAATATCTGTCTGGGAACGGGGAAACATCCCATATCAACAGGGTGCCTGAATGAAACGCAATTGTATACCTAACCCTTAACTGTACCCCACAACTTCACAATAAAAAAAAAAAAAAAAAAAAAAACTGAGGTCATTTGCCAAGGAACAGATTCTCTGGTAAAATTTAAATAGGCATTTTCCCCTAAAAATGTATAGAATAAAAATGAAAAAAAACCTATTTAAAATTAATAATGGAGTAGGGACAAAACATATGGATGTTCCTACTTTATCCACTTATACATAAATTAGAAGATCTAAAATGCAAAGCATCATAATATACTGAAGAGCTTCCATGATTCCCTGCTGCCCTCAGGACAAAGACAAAACATCTTAGCCAGGTATACAAGACCCATGATTTGACCACCAAATGCTAGGATTAGAAAAATATCTTCTAATACATATCTTCACTATGTGGATGACCCTTCAGCAATTCTTGCCTTAAAGTTCCTTGGCTCTCTATCTTTAATGACCTTCATCGCCACTTGCTTCAGGTACCCATTTTTAAGAACATAACAAAGATCTTAAGGTAGACTCATGTAGATTTCAACTGCCTGGCTTCAAATTTGAGCTCCAGTATTTATGTTGAACCCTGTGACCCTGGATGAGTCACCTAACTTCTCTGTGTTGTGGTTTATTCTTATGTGAGATGAGGTGTAAATATGCTAATATGTGTAAAATGCGTCAAATAATATTTGGCAAATAGTATTAATATTATTTCCCAGTTAATTCTTTTACAAAATTGTGTTAACTCTTATAGTTCCTTTGTATTCCCATATATGTTAGTATAATCTTGTCCTTATCTACAAACAACATTGCTGAGAATTTTATATAGACTGTCTTAAATTTATAGATCAATTTTTAAATAGCTGACATCTTTACCATGTTGTCTTCCATTCCACGAGCACGGTATGTCTCTCAACTACTAGATTTTGTATTTTTTAATCAGTATTCTGTAGTTTTTAGCATATAAGTTCCACAAACGCTTTGTTAGACTTATACCTAAAATTTCTTTTAAGTTATTGTAAATGGTATTATATTTTTAATTTCAGTTTCCACATGTTCACTGCAAGTATATTCTCTTGCTACAAGTATTCCCCAGACAAAAGTATTCACTCACATGGTTTTAACTACCACCTCTATGCTACTGGAGACTAATGTCTATTTCTTTAATCCTGTTCCCTTCTCTGACCTTAGCTGTCTCATGGACATACCTAACTTAACATGTCCCAAACTGAATCCTGCTCTTCTCATTCAAACTGCTCATCCTCCAGTCTTACTCATTTCAGCAAATGGCAACTTCATCCTTCCAATTGCTCAGATAAAAAAATCTCGGTATTACCCATGATTTCTCTTTTTCTTCCACAAGCCACATAACAATTTGTCAGCAAAACTTAGTGGCTCTGCCTTCAAAACATATTTTCAATTTGACACTTCTCACCATCTCCACTGTTACTACCCTCATTCAAGGTACAACCATTTCTTAAGATTGCTCTATTAAAATCGCCTCTTCATTAGTCTCCTTGCTTCTACCCAGTCCTCCACAGCTCTTCTCTACATAGCAGTCAAAATAGTACTATTAAACCTAAGTCAAATCATGTCACTCTCAGGCTCAAAGTCCTACTATTTTACTCAGACAGACCAAAGACAAAATCCTTCCAATGGACTACGGGCTCTACTCTTCTTTCCCTCTCTATTGCCTCTTTGAACCATTGTTTTCTATTTCATCTTTTGCTTAACCCACTCTAACCAATCTGGCTTCCTTGTTGTACCTTGAATATGGTAGGCACACTTCTGCCTCAGGGATTTTCTGCTTATCATTTCCTTAGCCTAGGACGCTTTCTCCCTATATAGCTGAATAAATCATTCCTCTACTTTCTATTGGTCTCTGCTCAAAGGTCATCTTCTCTGTCAGTCCTTCCTCACTCCCTTGCTTCTTTCTTTCCTCACTGTATTTAAAATTGCAAAACCCTTTCCCAGCTTGTCCTAATTCCCTTCTCTGCTTTTGTCCTTAATGCTCATTACCATTTAACATATTATATATTTTCCTTACTACGAATACTGGGTTTTTTTTTAAACTTCCTTTGGAATATAAACTCCATGAGGACTGTATCTCTAATTCCCAAAATAGTACCTGGCATATAATGGGTACTCAGTGCATATCTGTTGAATGAATGAATCAATTTATCAATAAATGGCACATGGGCTCAAGATCAAGGGTCAGCAAATTACAGCCCACAGGCCTGTTTCCTGTTTTGTAAATAAAGTTTCATTAGAACACAGTCACATCCATCTGTTTACATACTGTCAATGGCTGCTTTCCCACTACAAAGGCAGAGTTGAGTAGCTGTGACAGAGATTTATCTCCTGCAAAGCCTAACTTATTTGGTATATGATTCTTTAAGAAAAAGTTTTCTGATCCCTGCTTTAAATTCACACAAGAAACTACATGCTAGGCAGTGCTTTCTGAATATCTTCAGAAATCTCAAATCCAACCTGCCCCAAACTTTTCTCCATCTCTCCCAAACTTTTCCATTCTGTATTTCTTATATATATGAAGAACAGCCCCATCCACTGTCAGACAAGCCAGAAAATTAGGATTCAGAAATCCCCCTCTCCCACATCTTCTACTTCGAGTCACCAAATCCCATTGCTTTTATCTCCTTGTCCCTCTTTATTGAATTATGCATCCCTGAAATGGCACTAGCTGCCAGAGAGCTCATAGTTTAACAAGCAGGGCCATCTGTAGCAAGTGTGCAAGACTTATTAATAAATATTTCTTGTCTTAGTCTCATTCCTGGGTTCATTTTTTTTTATCTCAACCCTTGTTTTACCTTTTGAACTTGGCCTGACTATAATGTATGCTTCCTCATATTTTGTATACAATATAAAATACACTACTTAAAGTTCTTTTTAGAATTAGATAGGATTCAAATAAGCATACGTATTTATTTCTTTATGGTTTTGGTAGAGTTTAGGACACTCTACCCCAAAATATGGCACTTTGGCATTTGCAGAAACAGCAGAAGCAGGAAGGTCTCTCTGACATTTTTACATCCTTCTCCCCGAAGCCAAAAAGAATTATCTAAACTTCCTCTAAGGTAGGTCATAAACTTTCATTACAGAAGTACCCTCCCTATACCTGGAGGAAAAGAACATGCTTATCCTCCAAGACAAAGAAATACCAAGATGAATCTAAGCAAACAGGACTTGCTAAGACCTCCTGTTTATTACCATTAGATCATACCCTTTTGTCCTCTAGTCACATATCTTCATAGCAATTCACTTTGCCAAACTTAGTATACAAACGTACAGGTTTACCTGTTTTTTAGGGCTTTATTTCTGAAAGCTGTTTTTACAATAAAACTTACTAAATAAATTTGTATGCTTTCTTTTTGCTAATCTGTCTTTTGTTATAGGGGTTTTTGCCATGAACCTATCAATGGGTGAGAAGATAAATATCTTCTCCCCTCAATTTTATTGTACATAGACCATTTTTATACCTATCATTTTCCTCGATTTAATTTTCTGTCTCCATACTACATTGTTAACTCCTTAAAAGGCAAAGACAGTAACCTTTTACTTCTTCAATACCTCCAATATATAGCATGGTGCCTGATAATAAGGTTATATGCTTAAACAATATTTGCTGAATTAATGCATTTTCCAGAGTCAGAATTGTCATTTAATGTCACTGTATGATAATGGGATTTCCTTTCATTGTCAGCTTGAGCCAAGGAGGGCGACACAACCCTGAAAGGCAGTTGGGAGAAAGTGTCACATTTGGAGGAATGGTGCTGAGAACAGAAAATGCATACCTTGCCAAAGTGCTCAATTAAGATTTCCACCACGATGTTCTGGAATTTGATGTTCATCATGGCAGCCACAGTGTCCTCCTGAGCTCTCATCAGGGTGGGCCCAAAAATCACCCCCATGTTGGAGGGGGTCATAAGATTCTCTTTGCTGTGCTCACACACACTGCCAGAAGAGAAAGAAACTGATTAACAAGATTTGCTTCAATATCCCTTTGTAACCAAGACCGTGTTAGGTGCTGTAGTAGGTAAGAGAAACTTAAAAGTAGAAGGAAAGAAGAGGTCTAAAATATATATGAGAAGAAAAAATTACAAGGAAACAAGTAGCAAAGTATACGAGATAGAAGATAGTTAGAAGCCAAAGTGAGACATAGTTAACTTAGCTAGCAATTGGAGGGGTTCAGAGACAGACAGGGGTGGGGAAATGGATGCGATGATGACCATAGTCAGTCAAATAGTATTTGGAGAAAGAGAGAAGCAAGAAGACATTCAAGGCAAGGGTATAAAGAACAACAAAGTATATGGAGAGAATGCCTTAAAGTCTCTTCAGTCAGAAATCTAGTCCCTTTCCCACTCCCAGTTAGAGAAGCAAAAATCTAAAAGAGCTGAAAGGGATTGTTAAAATCAGCCCTTGATAATCTTCCTTATTTTACAAATGAAAAAGCACAGGTTCAAAAGAAGAAAGGAATTTATCTGAAGTCACAATGTTAGCTATAAACTAGGGCCTGCAATTCCAGCTTTTCTGATGCCTAATCACTTTCCTTGCTTTTAAACTTCCTTTAGTGGTTTCCTGTCACTTATAGGACTGCGCCAATTCTCTCCAAAGCAGCAGACCTTTCGTACGTTAAGTAAATTGTCCTCTATTTCCAAACTCTAGGCATATTTTAGGTTCTAAAACTGACATGGGTTTGAATCCCAACCTACTCAGCTATGCAATAGGGAGTGTTAAATAATACCCACTTCAGAGAGTTGATGAATAAATACAGGTAAATTGCTTTAGCATGGCACCTAGCACCTTGAGAAGTATCTGTTATTATTACTGATAGGGCTTACATGGAGGGGCCAACTGTTGAAATATGCTGAAACTCATTGTGCTAACCTCACATTACTTAAGTGACATCCTATTCTCGCTGCTGGCACCTACTTCCTCAAGGTTACATACATCTCAAGGCTGCATGATCACCAGCACCAGTCTGCTTCCTCAAGGCTACCTTACCACTAGCACCTGTTACCCCAGAAGTATGTGACCACCAAACTCCAGCTACGCGGTATAAGAGGGACCCACCAAAAGAACAAGGGGGCTGATTCGTCTCTTGAACCAGTCTTCCTCTCATTTCCCTTTAATAAATTCCCTTTTGCCTGACTTCCCAGCTCGTTCTCCTTTTCTCCGCACTCGCCTTACAATTACCTCTCCAGGAGCCTCCATTCTAGGCACAGTTGACCTCTGACACTCTTGTTAGATTAAACTGTGTAGTTTAGAATTTTTTTTAGTTACATCATGTTTTTTCATACCTCTATATCTTTGCTCATGCCATTCCCTCTGCCTAGAATGTCCCCCTTTCCCAACATCTGAAAAATGTCTATATATTCTTGAAGAGTCACATTAGGTGACATCTCTTTCCAGGCAACTACAGCCCACTGTGTTCATCTTAATTGCCACTGTTGGCAAGTAGAGTATGTGCTGCAATTTTCTGTTTACTTATCTGCCTCTCCTCCTAGGTGGTAAACAACTCCCAAGTGTGTGTGCCTGGAACACAGCGGGTACTAATGAATCATTTTTAAAGGAACTGAGTTTCTCTAGTGCTTTTACAAATAGTACTGGAAACAGCCAAGTAAAAGGCATGCAGCCCTTGGGTCAGCGTGGTTGTGGGGGTGGGCAGGTGAAAAGATAGTACAGCCCAGCTGTCTACTCGAAACATACAATTTCCAAGCCTACCCAGGTTAAGACCAGGAAGAGACTCACTCATCAACAGTCAGGTTCTTGACACTAAGTGGGTAATTGAGAGAGACAAAATCTTTAGACAAATCTTAGTGTTTTAAGTCTGTGAAACCACAGACAAAGGCTGAGTGCCATTCAGATGGCAATGAACAGCAACCATTCACAGGCTTTGATATTGCTGGACTGGTGATGAGTTCCTTTCAACAGTTTAAATACCTCTGCAATTAACCTTTATTCTTTAGTGACAGAATTATTTCAGATATTAAAATGGAAAAGTATCTCTATGCTGCCACCAAGTGATTCGGAATGGCTAAACCACTAGTGTCAAGACAAGGACACTTGCTTATCTCCTTTTGTGAGCTTAGAAGGGAACTGGTGTTTGTTCAGTGTCCCATTGGCGCTCAGAATCATCACAAGTCCAAAAGGCAGAGTATTTAAGCTTGAAGCCTAGGATCACAAAGAGCAAAGCACTTAGCAAGATCACATAGTTTGTGAATACATGGTAAGGTGGAGATTCAACCCCATATTTGTTGGTCTCCAAAACTTACAGTTGCTTCCTTGTATCCCACTGCCTGTTTATCTATTTCCTTTGGAGAGATCACTCATATGGGAGCCCTTTTATGCTAAAGCCATCTTCTATTTCTCTGAGGGAGGCACCTGGTATCCTATTTAGGATACTCTTCCTTCTTCACCTTCTTATGAGATTTGGAAGGTCATTTATAACTTGGGGATATTTCTTTGCATTTGGCATCTCTCCTTTTATTATACATTTTGAAAACCATTAAGAGGCATAGGTCACACCCCAGATTATGGGTTAATAAGTTGAATGAAACAAAAAACAAATGTATAGTGAATAGTGAATTAGGTAGGAGTTTGTGGTATGATCTGACAGTGAATGATTCTTAAATTCTCTAGCCCACCAAGGTAGTAAACAGTTTTCAGTGTAGGAGAAAATAATTCTGATTGAAAAGTTTAGATTAGAAGTCATAAATTAAAATGCCTAGAGGGCATAAGGTAGGTAACTTACATGAGGGAAATGGACCTGGTAAGAAGTGTCTGCCCCATTTAGACAAGCAGATATTCTTGAGACCATCATTTTTCCACCACACTCTTAGAGATGCACCATTAAAAGAGTTACTTCTGCTTTTAAGAAGGGGGCTCATCTCTAATGTAACCCTAATATGCTATTTGTTAAAACATTTGGGAGAGGTGAGGGCTGTGGCAAATTAGAAGCTTGTGCCCATTCCAAAAGTAATAACCGTTATTCAACTCCAACTGATTACTGCCACATGAGCATGTAAGGTCCTTAAATCTATGCTGGAGCCAAATCCTTATTTCATCCCCCCCAAAAAATAGATCAGGACAAATAAAACATATTTGTGGTCTGGATCTGGTCAATAGGCTGCCAGTTTGAGACCTCTGGTTTAGAAGAGTGCCTGGCAGAATGATGGGCGGTTGTCTATATGAATTTTCAGGTCTCATCTAGCTTTACAGTCCAATGATTCTAAAAACTTTATGTTCTCTGACTCCTAAACAAAGAAGCCACCTCCAATTATATTACTGGTTCCATTACTAATGTACTATATGGCTCTAGGCCTATTTTTTCCCTAGGTATCTGTTCCCTTATCTATAAAATGAGAAAGTTATTAGGTGATCTAAAGGGACTTCCAACTCTGCCAATTCAATGAATCTAAGAAAGTTGTGCTCCTGTGAACAATGGAGAGAAAAAAAGACAATCACACATTGTGTGCCTCCTATAGGAAGAAGACAGAATCATCTATTAAGTATGCTTGCCCTTCCCACTCTACATACAGACACACCAAAAACACAAAACCAAAAGAGAACTAGAAATCTGAACACAATAGTTGATATTAGGTAATTATTATTAATTTATTTTTAGATGTGATAATTCTATTGCTTTTATGTTTATATAGAGTGCTCATCTTTTTAAAATACAAATTGAAATACTTATGGATGAAATCATACAATGTCTTGGATTTGCTTCAAAATAACATGAGAGGAGGAAAAATGGATAGGGATACAGATAAATCAAGATTAGCCATAAGTTTATAATAGTAGAAGAGGGGTTGATAGACACACAAGAATTTCTTATACTATTTCCTCAATTTTTGAATTTACTTGAAATTTGAATAATAAAAAAGCTATTCAAAAGAAAATGACAATAAGGGAGAAGAGAGTGAGTCAGTGTCACAAGTGACCGGGCCCCTTCCCCAAGGATGGTGCCCGTTTTAAAGGGCAGACAGCTTTGACTTCCTCCACTGGTGTTATAGTATCTGTAATTTACTTTAAATACTTCAACAAAGTCTGTGCAATGTCCTGGATTACATCAATGCCATCAATTGCAACCACAACATTATTTATGCAACATTAAGAAAGAAAAATAATTTCATTGTCAAATCACCGTGTAATATTTCTGAAGACATTTTAAATAGAAAACAAACTCAAAAATAAACATAATTTAACTGAAGTGACTACAATATGAGCAGCTATTACCAAGTCGAGGCGTGCAAAGGCTATGATAATTACATCAAAACTGCTGCCTGACAACAGTAATTTTAAGAAACCATTGATTCTAAGATGCATCCAAAATTTAGATTACAATTTTAAAAAGTACTCCTTAGAACAGATGACATTTGGTTTATGCAATTGTTAGTTTTCATGTGTACTCTAGAACAGGTAAGTATTGTAGTATTCTAATTGTGAATCCATACTTACATACTCTAGGGGTAATTAATTTGTATTTAAAAGGCTACATGTAGAAGGCAGAAAGGCTACTATAAGCTTCAGCTAATTTTATCTCCAAAAACACCAAACGCTTTGTTAATTAATCAATATATGGTAAGAGTGATTTCTCATTGCCTACATGTATTCAATATATATATTCACTGGAAATATTACAAAGATACCCCACTGTGCCTGAGCAGAGTAGAAGAGTATAACAAAGGTCAACCTTAATATCAGTGAAGTAGATGAACCAATCTTAGGCATCTTCAGATGTGAATATCACCTATGATACACTCTAGCCAAAAAATAGTTAGCTTGAATCCATCTAGCCTCTGGATATAACCTCTAATTTACAAGAAATACAGGAAATAGAGAAATAGTCTGAAAAATATGACAATGAAGAAAGCAGACAAAATAATAAGCAATATTCTGCAGGACAACTGGTCACATCTTGTCAATAAGCCAGTGTCATTTAAAAAGAG